GGTGTGCCAGACATAGAGATGTGTCGCTCACATTCCCTGTCAAGAAAGGGCTCCTGGCCCAGCTGACAGCCTCACTGTTAACTCACTCAGATTTGCCTCAACCCTTGAGCTGAGGTACTGGTCTTCTTGGGACGGGCCCAGACCAAACAGGACTGTGCTACAAGGTCTTAGCAATTTTTGCCTGACACAGGACTCTGCTCACATGCACCAGAGCTCCCTGTGGGGGAGACATTGTCTGATCTGCATCATGGTCTGGCCACTCCCCTTCCCTAATCCTGCTCCCTCTTTTTTCCTTTCACAAGTGTTACTCCTGAATAAACCTTTTACACTCCTAAATCTGTCTCAGCATCGGCTTTCTGGAAGACCCAGCTGACACAGATAAGAAGTTGTTAGCTTCCAGCAACCTTTCATTGGTGAAGGGAGTGGATATATTGGAACTGGATCTGAGCCAGTACCAGCAGGATGTATAATCATCCTGGATGCTGAGGACCAAGCTGTACTTCCACTCTGGCACATGAATCAAATAAAGTTTTATTTCTTGCTATTCTTCTTGGCATTGACTATGCTTTGGTATTATTCAACAGGGCTTGACGTTCCCACTGGCTTTTTCAATGAGTGACTTGTTTAATGCATCAAGAGTGAGATTGAAAAAAAGGTCATGAAATGCATTTCCAGTCAGCCGGTTAGTTTCAATCAAGTTGCCTGGTTATAAATGGACTGTTATCTGGTCATACATGAACTCTATAAGCCCCTCGCTCACACAGAGTCATGACTTAAGCCAGTTGAATCTCATCCACCTGACAGACTGTCACCCTCCCCGTGGGTCACTGATAAAATGCCCTATATTTGGTGTTGGGTAAGGGAATTCAATGTGGTTGGTGACCAGGTACTTAAGTCCATGAATAGAAGAAAATAGTTCTTGCTTTTTTGTTTTGGAAGCATCTCCTAATTCCTTATTAGAAGGCCCACTTCATCCATCCATTCACCCATGAAATATTTATTTACCAAGAGAGAGTTGTCACTTGCCCTTCACTTGATCAGGCTCTTGCAGCTACACCCATGGTGCCACATTTTTGAGAAATCTACATGCAGCTTCTTTTTAGTAGTAACTACCAGGCAGACACCTCTGAGGTTCTAAAGCATTAATTACTCCTGTTCCATCTGCCCTTCATGTCAGAAACATCAAGCCTTGACTTGTGTTGTAGAGTCAATAAGAGTAGGAGCTCTCAGATCAGACAGTCTTGGGTTTAAATATGGATTCTCCCACTTACTAGCTGTGTGATCTTGGTATATTTACTTAGCCTCTCTGAGTCTTAGTTCATGCCTCTGTAAAACAGGATAATAGCACCCCTCATATAGAGCTATTATAAGGATTATATGAAATGATATTTATAAAGCACTTAGTCTAATACTGAGTTCTTGCTGTTTGTGACATCAAAATATTATTTTTAAATATCTGGTTTCTGGACAGATGATGTTTGTACTGCTGCAAAATACATCCCCCATTATAACTCTTTGCCTTGGTAAGTGGATTCTGGCACAATCTGATGCTTGAACAAAGATGACTTTGAATAAGACCTTCTTTTTTTGATGACCAGTTTCTAAGTTTGTTGAAGTCTAAGGACCTTAATTATAGAAGTAGCTGATGCAAATTGACTGTAATGTAACAATTTGGATTCACATACCATTTAAAATGTGGAAATATAATTTAATATTATTAACTCCCTGTTCTTAAAAGATTGGTAGATATTTGGGCCCAGGCTGCTCATCCTTAGAATAATTGGCTACTCTTAACAGCAATCAGTTGGCCCCATAAAAGAGAAGGTCCGAAAGCTAGCTCTCCAGGGCGGCAACAGAAGGTAGGATATATACTTGGACCATCTGCTACTGTTGTACTGACTGAGACTGGCTCAAGAGAAGTGCTGTTTGTCCCCTAGCAGAAAGGAAGGAGTCAGTTTCCTTGGCTGGCAGAAGAAATCAACTCTCACTCTTTTCTCCACAAAATCTTTACTTCCCAGAGACCAATGCCCCCCACAGTCCCCCTCCCACCCCCAGGGCCATTTCCCTCTCCCCTGGACTGGGAGCGGACCAGAGTCTACTAAAGCTTCTGTTCTTTACATAAAGTAATCTGGAGGGAAAAAACTCTTCTGGCTCCACACCTGGAATTAGGTAATCTGTCTTTAATTGAATCAAATTGTGTTTTATATTTCTCTCCTTTTATTGTCTTTTTTCATCACTATTGGCTTGTCTGTTTTCCTATATAATTTGAAAACCTTTCTACCTTATTATTAAGGTTGTTTTCAAATAATCCTTGCACTGACCAGAAGTTTCTTGAAGGCACAGCCCCTATCTTGTTTATCTCTTTAGTCTTTGAAGTGCTGCTACAGGCCTAGTGTAGAGTAGGCATTTGGTAATGGTAGTTGAATTAAGTTGAATCATTATTTTTCAAAAACCCTGTAGTAGCATCATCTCTTAGAGCAACTTGCTACACTACAGGCAAAATTACTCTAGTCAAATGTTGTACCTTGTGTATCTTCCATTATACAATAAATGTATTCCCTATTGAAGAGTGGCCAAGTGAACTTTTGTAAATTATTAAATTCTTATTCCATGTACTTACATTACATCTGGGAGATGCTAACATCAGTGGTTACTCTTTTTGAATTATCTATTTTTTGTCATCTTTTCCCATCTCTACCTGTTCCCATCCTCCCCAATATAAAAGTCAGTAATTCACGTAACAGTGACATTTATTGATCATCTAAAAATTGTGAGAGTGTTTTCAGGTAATTAATCCACAGCTCCTACCACAAATATTTAAATGCAATACAGGAGAATTATTTAATCCTATCATAGGAATTCTTTAATTCCTATTGTACAAAACCTATTGTAAAATGAAGCATCACTCTGATTTAATATTAGTTCAGCTTTTGTTTTGTCTGGGCTTTCTTTTATTGAACTTCTACCTGGATTGCTCACACTTCTTTGGTATGTTTGCAGCCTTGACCTTACTGTCTCAGTGTTTACAGGCTGTCCTGGCAATACTTTTGCTGACCACCAAAAACTTGGTAGATTTGAACTGAAAGTGAATAATCAGAGTGGAGAATAGTCAACTCAGATCTTAGTTGGTAAGATGATCCACAACAGGCTTCTGATTTAGACTTCAGTCCTACACTCTCTCTCTGCTTCTATAACTCAATAATGTAAGTTAGGAAGTCATTTCCCCAAAATAATATTCCTATCTATGAAAGGATTTTCTATAAGGTTCCTTCTACTAACAAGAATACCTACTGCTTTTAATATAGGATTTCTTGTACAATCATTCCAAAGGTGATACTATGTATCAGGTGCTATAGTAGATACAAAGGAACAAGAAAGAGATCTCCACCAGAAGCAGAAAGTTCCAATATGGCGCGCTGATATGGGTGCAAAGTTAGGCGTGGTGGTGGGATGGGCTAGAGATGTTATGAGCTGCAGAGGTAGCTGACTCTCTCCTCAGCATCACAGCCCAGGAAGAATGGGATTCATCTCACAAACCTGGTTGCTCGTAGGCTACCAACTATTCCTTTAGACAATCAACTAGAGAGAATAAAGTACACAGCCTTTGCCCCCATTTGTGAAACTCAGTTCCTCTATCTCAGGGACAGGGCATCCTACAGCCAGCCCCTGAAGCCTAAAGTTATACAGACCTCAAGAAAACAGTGACTGGATATTGTTGAGCATGAACTAGGAATGATCACCTATGGGGCTGAGATGAATTTTTAAAGGAGGCTACAGATAGAATGCCACAGTTCCTAGGTTCACTGCCTTGTGCCCAGCTCCAACCATTACACTGACTTTTTTTTATTTTGTGGGTGCAATAGGGGACCACTAGTTCAAGGCTAAAATGAGCCACAGCTTTTAACCAGCCCCAACTGGGGTCACAGGAGCCTAACTCACAACCTTCCTCTCACCAGGAATCCTCTTCCTTCCAAAAGGCTCTCCACGTCTCCACACCTCCCCTAATGTTCATGGCCTCCCCAGGAAAAATTCTCAGACCCCACCAGCCCATCATGTGCCAGACATTAGCCTGAGGGCTCTACGCACATCATCCCACTGAATCCCTACAGCAATCTATAGGCAGGTACAATTATCCCCAGTAAGAGGACACTAAGGCTTCAAGAGGTTAAATTTGTTCTCATGGCTTCAAATTGGCAGAAATAAGAATGAAGCCCAAGTTTACATGACTTCTGTATCTTAAGCACTTTCTATGCAATGCCATCTCCTAGCATTACCCCCTTTTCTGACGCACAGTGGTGTGGACTTTGTCCCACTCAGTTGGGTTACTTTATATGCTTGTAGAATCGAGCTTTTATTTAATATATAAAGATTTACCCACCTTCTTTGAAAGTTGCTTGAAGGAAAGGATGACATCTTCTACTTCTCCATTTCTCTTATGGGTCTATGGTATACGAGTAGAGTGAGGTATACATAATATAGGTATACTCGTAGATGTTGGAAAAAAATGCTGGGTCTTAATTGGCTCAAGACCAGACACCATACCTTCAAGACATTATTCTATTCAACCATATATTATTACGCTCTATTTGAATGCTTTGCAATAGGTACTGTCATCTTTGGTAGAGACAGTTTTTTTGTTTGTTTGTTTCTGAAGCTAATTATCACAGGGTAACTCACATATTCCATACACCGTGTGAATGCTGGAAGAGAGGTGCCTGATCTTCCATTTTTTTCAGTTCTAATGCCAGACATAACTGGCTTTCTGATTCAAAGCCAGACCAACAGTTAAAACTGGTTCCAAAAAACAGCCCTTTATGGGATCCACTGTTTTTCTTGAGTATGTGTTTTGAGAAATGTAAGATCATAAATAGATCTAAAATAAATGAGATTGCCAAGTATCAAAAGGGCATGAACAATCTTGGCCTCACATCCGCGAATGACAGGTCATTTCACGGAGTAGGAGGAGGAAAGTTGGCACCCCGTGGACAAATAACTGGACTCAGAATGAATATAAAGGCAGAGGAGCTGGACAGTGGAGCCACCTTCAGAGAAAGACTCACTCAAAGGGACTGTAGCTGAGTCACTTCCGTCATCTGCCAAGATGAAGCTGCTGTTGCTGTGTCTGGGGCTGACTCTAGTCTGGGCACATGAGGAAGGAAACGATGATGTTGTGACAAGCAACTTTGATGTTCCAAAGGTAGAGTTGGTGGAGCATAGTGACCTCTGACTTTAAGGGGTGGCTTGGAGGATTGCGAAGCAAGGTGGTCCTATGGGAGGGCAGGTGTTTTTTTACATAGTAGACAAAGGAGGTGGTTTGTGACCTTGGACTAAGAGCAATTGTACCATGTGAAAAGATGACAACACTTAGGAACCTCCAATCTCACTGGAGGGACATGGAAAGAGCCTTACAATTGACCCGAGTTCTGATTCCATCTTCCATCACCGTAATGAATCCTGGTCAGAGGGCCAAGTTCAAGGAGACAAGGGCCCATGTGATGTCCCATCTCTTTTTTTCTTACCCAGTCATTTTACTGATTTATTGCAGATTTCAGGGAAATGGTATACCATTCTCTTAGGTTCAGACGTCAGAAAAAGAATAGAAGAAAATAGTGTCATGAGGATTTTTATGGAAAATATCCAAGGCTGGGACAACTCTTCTCTGACTTTTAAATTTCATGTAAGGTAAGTTTGGCCTTTCTTACATGGAAAACAAAAACTAAACAAAACAAAAAGCAGAATCCTGAATATGGTCTGGGACCTCTAAACACACATACAGAACACACACACAACACACACACAGTATTGTGTACATATATTGTTGACCTGTATCCAAAATCAGAGTCACTCATCTAGCATTGATCCAGGACATGCTGAACCTGGGGCTTTTCTAGATTCACTGATAAAAATTGGTGACAGGAGTAAATTTCAATGTGATTAGAGGAGGTAAGAGGGGAGAGCTTTCAGAATCCTAAGTAGTCTGGCAATATAACATAGGTTAGGAGCATAGGATTAGGGATCACCAGCCTGTCTATCTGTCGAATCATCTCTTACTGGTCGTGTGACCTAGAAAATTGATCTCTTTCCACCCCAATTTTCCCTTGGGCAAAAAACTCTCACAGTTTTTTGTGAGGACCAAGTGAAGTAAAGTCTGTCTGTAAAGCACTCATTTGAGAGGCTGGCACATGTGAGTACTCAGCTAATTATACAGACTAGTGGCTGTAGTAATACTGATAGTGGGAAGTAATGGTAAACTAATAGTGATAGCAGTAGTTGATTCATTCTTAAAGTATCAAATAAGGTGAAATAATGTAAATGAATGCCCTTTGAAATCTGTACCAAAAATGTTCAAGAGTGACGTGAAATCAGACTCTCAAGTTACCGGTAGAGTGAGGGAACCAGGCCCATCAATACCTCTTGGGCAACAGTTCATTTTGTTTTATAGGCTCTATGGAGAGTGTATTGAAATGACTGGGCTTTGTGACCAGACATCAGAGAATGGTGTATATAATGTTATCTGTAAGTATATAAAAAAGTCTTTCTGAATTCTACTTCCAACTTCAAGGATTTACTAAACCCTAATATCATTAGGATCTTGATCAATTCCTGATCACTATTTATTTAGCTGATATAAATTGGGCCATCTAATAGCTAATGTCTGAAATCTGGGAGAATCTTGTGTGTAAAAGCCAATGCCTGGCACATAATACCATCAGATAAAGATGGCGATTTGGTCATATGTACCTCCAGCAACAAAAAAAATTAGCAAAAAAAATGAGTAAATTGTCAGGATAGCTGCTCATTCTCTGCCCATTTTCTATGCTGTCTGGTGGTCATTGCCACAGCCATTGCTCAGATAGAGTGCTGGGTATATAATGCCAGTGGGGCTTAAAGACAGGGCAGAGACACATAGTTGGCAGAGATGGCCAGAGGAGGTAAGTGAGTCTCAGAGAGGGTGATAGAGGGTAAGTTGCTGCTGTGGCTGAAGTTTTCTACCACTAGTGGTTAATTACCAGTGGGAGAAATTCTACCAGATTCAATTGTACCCTTAGAAGTCACCACATGAAGCCCAGGGAGATACAAATGGAAGGCTTCCTTATCTCTTCCAGGACATGCATTTGAATTTGTTCTGTGGGAGAAATAGGAAAAGCATTTCACTTGCTTCCCATGAACCAAGAAGTTCTGAATTTTGTTCTGTTTCCTCCACAGATGCTGGATTTGATACATTTCGCATAGTTGAAGTCGTCTATAGTGACTATATTATTTTTCATCTCATTAGTTTCAACAATGAGCAAACTTTCCAAATGATGGCACTCTTTGGTAGAGTATTTTCATACTGATACTCACCTTGGGGTTGGGAGGCAGGGGAAGGAAGGAAATCTGGAAACAAAGTGATCCTCTCATTGTTACCTGGGATGCCTTTCTTCTTCTCAAGAGAGATGCTCACTGTAGGTAATCCCTTAGTCTTGGTGGTGGGATGATGATGAAATCTCTCATCATGCCAGAAGGCTATCCTAAAGATGTCAAAATCAAGACAGGTTTTATCCCATCCCCAAGTTTTCTGTCTAAGCAGTAATCAGTGCCATCCATTTTTTCATCCATCTTGAGAACCACTCCACCGCCATGATCCTCAATGACCAATACATGAGACACAACAGTTACTGTCAGTCTTCCCACAGCCCGAGAACCAGATGTGAGTCCGAAACTCAAGAAAAGGTTTGCAGAACTTTGCCAAAAATATGGAATTACTGAGGAAAATATAGTTGATGTGTCCCAAGATGGTAAGTTTAGCTCTCTTTGGTTTTCTCTTCCTAAATTTGCATGTTACTAAAGGGAGAAATCCAAGAAAAGGTAACACCTCCAATCAGTCCCCTTTGTCCTAACCTAGAAAATCATTTGGGTTCTGTCTGGGAAATCAACTGGGCTTGGCGTTTGAATGTGCTTTATCTGCCTCTGCAGATCGCTGTCTCCATGCCTGAGGGAGGCAACTGGCCCAGTAATCCAGGTTGGTTATCTCTCGTGGAGAGGGGGTTGCTCAGGGATCATTGCCTTTCAAAAGTATTAGGAGTTTATGTGCAAAGATTACAATAATAACAATTTAGCAAGGAATCTTGTGGGGAGAGCTTGAAATTTGGAGTTGGAGGTCCTATGTTCAGGACCTACTCCTTCAGTTAGCTTTAGAGCAAATGACCTAAGCAATTAAAAGGAAAACAATGAGGTCTACCTTACAGAGTTTCTGTGTGGATATAACACTGGTGAAAGAGCTCAGTAATTGCTAATGTGCTACACATCATTAAGACTTAAAATTTTGAAATGGGAAAAGAGTAAATGTGTGTGAGTATGAAACTCAAATACGTTTCTGTTTGTGGTCTGTCTTTGAAGCCCAGTAGGCCATCATACCCTCCAATTTTGGTAAAAATGTCTTGTTTTGATGTCTGCTCACCTTCAACTTTTGATCTGGGAATAGAGCTGTCTGACATTCCAGTTGTTTTCCAACCTGGAAAATGGACTCTGAGTTTCCTCATCTGTTTCCTACCTAAGATGTATTGTGGGGCTTCATTCAGATAATGTGTGGGAAGGTCTTAGCAACTGTGGCTTGCATAAAATAAGTATTTAGTAAAAGGCAGCTATGGCTTTTGCCATTCTTCCTCAATGTATCAAAAATTCTTCAGAACTTCCCATTCTGAGGATGGCAGAAAACAGCCTAGGATCCTTCATTGATTCCTCTGTTTTTCATAGACTTGTTGAGAGAAGGTAGAGATGAGATCAGCAAAAGAAAAAAAAAGTCATTAACTCAACAACCCCTTTCCCCCTATTCTGGCCAGTAACATAGATTAGAATGCAGGTTGATGTCTATTTCTTTATCATTTTTCTCCATAATACAAATTATCTTTGTCCTCATTCAACCCAGAAGTCCTTATTAGTTCCCGAGTTATTTTTCTCATCTGTTTCTTTAGTGCGGAGTGAATGGTTCCTCACCTGGGCTCCAGGATCTTCCCTTCCATGGTCCTCACATCATCTTGTGACAAGTTCTGTGACCTGATGGCCATCACTCTCTCACATGAAAGCATTATCTCTGCATCTTCAGGATCTTCCCTAATTGTCTAAAAGACTCATCAACTCACCAAGAATCAAGGGTTTTCTCCAAATTCCCAATTGTCTGTGGCATACCCAGGAGAACTTGCCATAAGTAAGACCTTCTTCTACCTGGTCAATAAATAATTATTCTTGCAGTGATTTGATTGTTTTTGTTTATGTGAGAGATATGGGGCTCACAGCAAGCAAATGAGGCGACTTTCTTGGCTCTGTACCTTTAATCCTCTCCTAGCTTCTCAGAAATATCCCTGAGTTACAGGATTCTAGGCCCCTGCATTAGTTCTTTGTCCGCATGAGTGTTGCTTGCCCTTTGATTAGCCTCTTTCTTAATGACCTGATAAGAGAAACTGTAAGACTTGTCCCATCATTTTCCCCATCCAAGAATTATCTTATTCAGTGGAGTACTGACAGGTAGATGCTGCTGAGGCTGATACCAGCTCACCATATTTAATGATATGCCTCCACATCCCACCTTCTCTACATTACCCATCCTAGAGATGGTCAGTGTCCTTTCATGCTTGGAAAACCTCCTTTAACCCCTGCTGTTATCTACTGTGAACATAGTTAGTGAGATCCCATGAATGTGAGCAATATCTATCTTTAGCAATCTAAATGTTATTAACCTCTTCTTTTGGGAGTTTACAGGCTTTAGAGAAAGGGAAATTAAAGTTCTTCTTTCACTTATTATTCTTTCCTAACATCAGATGATGAACACAGTTTAAAGTTGCACAAGGGTATTGGGGCAGAGCAGGATGTGTGTGGAGGTTGTAATGTAAGAAGAATGACTCAGTCATTAGAAACCTAAGTTTAATGAGAGAGGCATCTGATATTCCCCATATGTGATCCTGCCTCCATATCAGAAGAACAAGTTAGGTTCAGGCTTGTTGGCCTTGACTTAAGCACTTGGTCTAGTTTACTGACATTTTGGCAAAAGGCTAGGTAGAAAGTCAACCAGGCATGCTGGGATTTGTCATTTTTAAATGTCAGCCTGTAAGGGAAGAACAGCTGATCTCCAGAAGGGTTTGAAACATTACAACCAGCACAATAAATCCAGGGCGGCTCCCATGATGGGAGGAGGCTGGAAACCATAGGCAAGAGGGAGGCACAAAGAGGCCCCCAGCTGTTCCCAGATCAAGATGGCAGGTTTAACTCACACTGACACCTCCACCTCCACTCCCAACATTTTATGCAAATGAGGAATGAAATGCTAAAACACTCGGAAACAAGGAGTAAAGATGTGTATAGATCAGAAACAGAGCAGAGCAGTCCTGTTGAAAAGAAATGAAGAGACAAGAAAAGAATAGCAAAGAAAACAAAGCAAAAGAGATGGGAATGATATGGGTAAACAGGTCTGAGCAGTGTTGTCCTCTGGGTTCTTAGGCCATATCTGGATACCCATGCAGATTTGGGGGCAAGTGTCAAAATGGCCAGACAGGGATGCAGACCAAGATAGATGCCTCTGAGAAGCAGGGGCTGAACCAGAATGAATTTGAGGTCAGCTCCTCTCTGTCACCTGGGGTCACAGAAAGACGCTGACAGTCTGTGGCCTGCAAAGGAGGCATTATCACCCATTTGAGAAAGAAAAAAAA